AACGCGAGTGTGCAGTCGCTCAGGGGGTCAGTGGTGTTCACAAAGACGGGAAACTACTTCGTTCGCGGATTTGTGCACCTCCTGCCGCTACCATTTACCGACGCGGAAACTCCTCCCCCGGGGCTCAGAGTACCACCCGCCCACACGTTCTTTGCGCCCATACAAGAAACTCCCCACTCCTTTCTCTTTCACGTGCGCAACTAGCCTCCTCAGCGCCTACAGATACCGCTCGCATTGACTGTGATAGAACTAGTTTTTTGCGACGTTTTAACAATTTTCTTCTCTTTAAGCCTTCTGGCTGTGAAGATCCCTCTATTTGTTCACCACCAACTCACCTCCACGCGATGAGAATCTGGTGATTATTTGTCCTGGTTTTCAAAATAAAGTCTAGTTGGTATTGTGAACTTCCGACATTTTCTTTATACTAGTGCACTGCGCGATTGTATCACTATCCAACTGGAAAACCGTTGAACAGTCTCAATTTCCAGGTATAAAAGTACAAGATCCGATGGCGAAGCCCATCTGAGGTGGTTTTCATAAGCTGCGCTAGCATACTCATCGTGAGGCCGACACCTTGACCGCTAAAGCCTGGGTAAGAATAGAATTCGAGACATGCGATCGCAAGTGCAGCAGTCCAAAGTCCGATCACAGCCTATCTGGGATGACTTTCGCACGCGGTACCCGGAACAGATTTGGTGACCGCTTATCGTAGAGCCGACACTTAGAATGCTAAAGCTTGGATGTGAGGGGAACAAGGGTCGCACAACCTCCTGAATTTCAATGCCGCTTTGAACTTTGTGGATGCTCGTTTCAACTTCCAACACATCGATAAAAGGGGCGTACGTCTGTATTTTAAAGTAGCAAAATCAGCATAGCTAAGAGTCCACGTCCGTCAAATAAGTATTGAACTTCAATGTGAGTGAACCCAAACAAGGCGTTTAAGATCGCCAAGGTATGAACAATAGTGCGATAAAGATTGCTTCCAAAAAGCTGTTGATCACAATAAGTACTTTATTTAAGTCAAATAATCCAATTAGGAGATTAATATGAAATACAATACGGCTGTACAGAAATCAAGATCACATTGTGAAAATGAAATTTGATGAGATGAAAGAAAAAAGGAAAAGGGCGCTAAAATCTGACCTTATCGGACTCCGTCGCATCTAAAAGATTTAAATCACAATCAGGAAATCAGCATCTGAAAAGAGTCAGGTATCTCAAAAAACCCAGGCAAGTCGTGTAACGCAAGCTCATTCGTAAATTTTGACGATGCGATGAAGCTCTAGTACATTAAACGTCACAATTTCGCCGTGAAAACCATTTGATTACCCGTACCATGGTGAATGAAAAAAAAAGGCAACATGATGCGATTATGCAGTAGCACGCGTTGTACTTTAGTTCTTATCCAGCGTGGCAGCCTTCGACACCCACAAGGGATGCATACATACAGGGTGATTTAAAAGGCGAGAGCTTCGGACTTAGAGCCATCTGAGATACTGTTGCTCCAACTTAAGAAGCAGGAGGATTTTTCATGGGCAAAACTCGATTGAATTGCTCATAAGTAGGTTAGAGAAAGCCACTCACTGTCGCCATCTTCGCTGGGAAGGGAGTGAGTGTAAGAGCCGAGGGCGACATCGTCCCCTCCGCCGCTGGCCATGCGCACAAACTCCTCCTGCACATCGCAAGGGGGTCGGCCCTTCGTCTCTGGCAGGTATAGGTAAAGCAGAGCAATAAAGATCACCAGCAGGCCAATGAACGGCATGAAGGAGAAGTCCTTCAAGTATTTCTAGAAAGTGGAACTAGTAGTTACAGGGCAGCTGTGGGCAGACAATTTTTTATCAAGTTTTCGAGCTACTATGACATTTCTATCGACAGTTTCCGATCCAACTCCCAACCTGTTTCAGTGATACAGGCATTGGGAGATTATTTGAAAATCGAAAGGCGATTCTACGATTTCGTTTGGCAAAACTGCAAATCCAGAATTATCACCCTGCCGCTAGGTCAGGCATAACAGATTACAGATGAGGTTAACAAACACCACCAAGGTGAAGAGCAGCGCTGTCTTAAAAAAACGAAAGATGAGGAAACTTGCCAAGAGAAGAGGGTATCCAAGGCTGATAACAATTTGAGCGAGCCAATTAACGATGACTGTGATCACAATGGCAGGATCACGTGTCTCCTGCACAAATAATTCAGCTACCACAAACCACGGGATTGAACCTGTAGGTAAATAGGAGTCGATATTTGAACGGGGACGGCACCACATGCTTTAACCCTAACCGATCTTGACTCGGAAAAATTGAATAAAATATCCGAGCAAATACGGCAGTGAGCGAAAGACAACATAATCTGATTCCAAAAAATAGCAGCCTACCTGGTCCGATAGCGAAACCGCCAACGAAGATATAGATAAAGGTGATGGCAAGGTAGACAAGGCCAGAGGCGTGGTTGCGAAGAGCCAAGCCGATGGTGATGATGACAGCGCTGCAAAGCATCATACTGAGACCGCCTATAAGAAGAATTCGCCGACCGACACGTTCGATAAGAAAGATGGAGACCACGGTGATGACAACAATCATTGAGCCCACACCCAACGTCGCATACACGGCCTGTGAAGTAAGTCCGATGCTTTCAAATAGCGAAGTGGAGTAGAAGAGCGCCTACAACAAGCACATTAGTCCGATTTGGGGTACATGACTTGAAGGGCATACAGGTTACGGAGCTCACAGCATTTATTCCGGAGAACTGTTGGGCCAAGTGAGCTACAACGGCAACAAAGAGAGCCAAACGCAGAGCTTTGATGTGGAAGAGGTCTTTCAGCGGAAATTTCTACAAGTATTACAATGGTAGAGGTAAAGGAAAACTACGGCATGGTTTTCGTTTCCGTCATCTTGTTCAATTAAAAGCTCTCTGATCTCCTCATTAACAACTTCAGTATCGCCTCGAAGCCAATAAAGGGCAGATTTCGCACCCTCCAGGTCCCGACTATTCAACAGAATATAGCGAGGGCTATCTGGGCAAATCCAGAAGAGGAGAAGTAGAACGACCGAGGGTAGGATTGTCAGACCTAGAAGTTAGTCTATATTGTTAGAAAAACAAACCGAGGAGATAAGGCCAGAGTTTTGTCGACCCCATTAATTCTTGCAAACCGAGGATTTGGGAAACCAGAATGGCGCTGACAATGGCTAATTGGTGCATTATCCCCGACATACCGCGAATGCTGACTGGAGCGATTTCTGCGAGATACACTGGTGCTATCCCGGTGAAGGCGCCTAATGTAGCAGTAAGAATCAGATGACTCCTTACCACAGGCAAATCCAACGAGCACTCTGCCGACGATGATCATTTCAAAGCTAGCAGCTGCTTGACACGCCATCATCAGGAGAGATCCAATGGCCATCGGAATGTTGAAGATGAAAAGAGACAACTTTCTGAAACAGTAAAGCGAAAATAACAACCACAGAGTAATCCCTTGTGGGATACTTGGATTGATAAAAATTGCGCCAGACCCACCGTCCCACTTTATTTGAGACAGAACCTCCAAACAATGCACCGAAAATACCACCTATCGGAAATCCAGCAACAACGAGGCTGCTCATTGCCTGAACAAACTCTGATGAAGGTGGGCCGCTTCTGCTTATGCATATGTTTTGGATAAATTTTTCAATTAGCTAAGCGACAACATAAGGAGAAAAAAACCTACCGGAAGAGGACTATTAATGACGCCAGTTTGAAAACCAAACTGAAACGAGGAGCCAAATACAATTACCACTGTAGCGAACACGTAGTGAAAGTTAACCATTCTAAAGAGGAAATAGTTAGAAACGTATATGACCAAAGTAACTCAGTAATGGGCCAAAAGCACAATTTTTATGTGCCATATTACTTTGCATAAATGTGTAAGCTATAATAATAGGAAACCAACCACATAATACAAAGCTCTCAACGAGACCGAGCAGTGCGTACGCTTCCACAAGCTCAAGAAAACCACACCCGGCTTAAAAAACAACTAGTGCGACAAATGACACCAACTTGTCAATTTGGCCTGAGAAATCAGGAAAGAGTGCGTTTAGTCCCAGATTGAACCACATCAACGAAACCGTGGAGTACGCGTATTGATGAAGGCTTATTGTCTAACATTACATGAATAAAGACTAGATTTTACAGTTAGGCTTTAGTGTCAAAAGGACTAGTGAAATGAGTCTGTTTATAAGGATGACAAAGAACATGCCATGTAGGAGCATTAGCCACTTACTACGCGCGACAAACTACGAGGTAGGCTACCCACAGCCCTTTTGAAAATAAGGCAGCACGATGTTTGCGAGTGCAAGTTTATGCGTACAAACAAACGCACAGTTAGGATAACACATCAGAGTAAATGCTTTCAAAGCTCGAAATAGCCATTAGAAGTAAAAAATCCAAAGCGCACTCAAAACATGAAGCTGATTTAAACTGTCAAATTCATACTGAAACGCAAAAGGATCCCTTCCGTTTTTTAAAAAAGTGGTCATATGAGGCTTATAATTGTGGAGCGAGACTCCTCGGTCTCCGCTTCCCAATTCCTAGCGTTGCTAGACGAGCCCGGTTGGTTTGCTTTGGACATCTTTATTAAAGACGACAAGATGTATAGGGAAAATGCAATATTCAAGAAGGAGGGGAGCCGCAATCACTGGGTAAGGGAGAGGGCGATCCAGTTACAAGGTTCGAATTTCCTGCTTGACTCCTCCCTGAAAGGCAAATTCAAACAACATAAGTATTACATAATGATGAGTGAATTACTTTAGGCTAAGATTTTAATAATTTGCTGTGCATGTTGCAGCTAATTACGGCTTTTGTAATTTAAAATATTCATGGATAAGGAAACGTTCAGTCATGTTCTCACAAGCAAAAGGAGTTGTTTAATTGAAGACTCATAACAGGTTATAAAAAATTCACATCGAAACTTTTTAATGCACGTAAGGTCTCTTTAGACTCTAAATTGTGTAGGACCCTAATTATTCGCATATGTTGCCTTTAAACTTAACTATTTTAAAGAAAACTCACAATGTGACTAAATAAACAATCGTTGCTTTCCAGCAAATAATTCTACCACTTTAGATCTGTTAGGCGATTGTTTTAAATGGTAGTTGGGCGGCTACTTTCTTGTTTTGTGTCGAGTATGAAGTTCAACAAGGCCGTCAGTTCTTCTAGTCGCAAAGCCCGTAAGAGGCACTTTAATGCCCCATCACATATCAGACGGCGGCTGATGAGCGCTCCTTTGTCGAAGGAGCTTCGTACAAAATACAAGGTTCGTAGCATGCCAATCAGACGTGGGGATGAAGTGCAGATAGTGCGTGGAGAGCGCAAGGAGAATTCCTCCGCTAAAGTTATCAAAGTATATAGGAAGAAATTCGTGATCCATATCGAACGCGTCCAATGTAAAAAAAGCAATGGTGTTTATGTCCCAATCGGTATTCACCCATCGAACGTAAGTGACTCGCTTCCCTCTCTGGGTTACTTATTTTTTAGGTTGTTATTACTAAGCTAAAGCTCGACAAGGACCGAAGAAACCTCTTGGAACGGAAGGCTGCTGCTAAACTTGCTGGCATGGACAAGAACAAGTACACTGAGGAGGTTCTGGAATCCTAGGTGTGTACAAATAAATTCTGAACAAATGGACGTTTCGTACCACCTTTGCTCTTCATGGGTTTCGTTAAGTTGTTCCATCGGCCTAAGTTCTACAGATGCGCTTTGTTATGTGCTCGCAGTTTATTCCATGGTAACCCGATACGTGCGCACTCTTAAGGTCAATCCTGCGATTTCATTTTGAGTGGTGGCTCACCTCCATCTACCCTAGTGTATGTGATTGGGCCAATAGGCTATCAGTCCCCCACTCAGTTGACCTCTTCCCCCCATAGGGCATCGCCAACGCCATGTATTTCCACACTAGTTATTTATTTACTTCGAGTCTAGGTTGACTTGGGTCCGCTGCATACTTGCTGGGCGGTCGACGTTGAAGAGCAGGAATATAGTTCGGTGCTGACTTTCACTGGCTCTTTGGATCTGGCGCTGGGAAGGAGGCGGATGAGAGGGGTGTAGAGAAGCAACAAGACTAGTGGCGAAGCAAATCACAACGAGAAAGACGAGTGAAAGATGTGGTGTTCGCGACTCTATGGACTGAGCTCGATGTCTTTCTCCACCAGTTTTGCGGTTGTGGGGTGCATGTACTGCTTGTTCGCCTTGTAGTTGTTTATTGCCTGCTGTTTAATGGACGGCCAGGCCACCAGAGCCCTAGAACCAAAAAAGACGAAGTGGGAGTGGGCGAACTCGACTGTGGGGTGTGCACGAGGTGTGGAACGTACTTGTAAATCGGTCTTGTGTACTTCATTCGCCCTTGACTGTTGAGGAATTCCAGGGCGCCGTCCACACCCGGAAGGTATTGCGAATAGAGAACGATTAGGGACCATCTAAAAAAGTGGGGACGGGTTGTTCATTTTTGCCAAGATGGTGAAGTCTTACGCTACTCACTACCTATAAGTACGTCATCTAGGTTTACGTGATTGCAAGGGCAAAAATACGTTAGCGACTAACAGAAATCGGATTTCCGCATTTTTAGAAGTTGACACTGCAAGCATGTTGTTGAGAACGAGGAGATTGTCATGCGAGAGGGGGACGCATTTGAGCAGACGTCGCCAGAGTAACTGACGCTGAAGTGGAAGCATTGTCTCATACTGGCCTCGTACGTAAGCCGCTGATTCGGCGTCACTGCCCAAGGGAGTGTTTTTTATTCTCTCTGCTACTTTGTCCACCACCGACGATAGTTTTCGGTTGGTTCTGCAATAAAACATGGAAAGGGCAAAATCGTGTCAACTTTATTCCTGACAAGAGAAGTGAGGTCAGACGGTACCTATCAATTTTGATCACTTGAAATCGGCTAACTTGGACATAAAGCGGGGGCATGCGCGATGTTTGAACTATTACTTGGTTGGTTGGGGTACTTTTGCAAAAGAAATACTGGGGACTGCTCAGTCTGGCCTATTCTACTACTGAAGGCAGGTTTTTCTCTTGGGTAAAACAAGCATAATAATAGTAAGGTAAAGACTCACTTAGGCACCCAGGGGATTGAACCGGCGTGGTAAAGCCAAGTATTCCAATCGATTTCCTGAAGAATATTTTTCCCGAGGTGAGCGGCCAGGAATTCTATCCAAACTCGCGTGCTGAGAGAATGCCGACGAAAATGCGATATATACGACTTCAACCAAGAAAGGACGGCCGCTAAAGGATAATGGTTAGTAGGATATAAGAACCCTCAGTGTGGGGCGCAAACTATTCACCTCACTCGCATCAACGCAATCATGTCGTCTGGGGACTTTATTCGGGGTGTGGCAGTGACCGGCCAAAAGCGAATGCTCGATGTGACAACCAACCCGTCGCTACCAGTGTGGGCAGTTTGTGTAAACATTAAAAGCATGATTCAATCGAATGACCTAGTGATTGGAAGCTCTATGATGGATCCAGGTGGGTAATCAAACTCACCTTTACCGTACTTGTTCTCAAGGAAGTAGAGGAAGAGAGAGCCCTTTTGATAAGGCACAATGGAGAAAGCGTCGTCCGTGTGAATTCCCTTCAGACATGGCACCATCTTTGCAAGTGGATGTCCCTCCTTAAATTCTTCCAACTAGGTTTCAAAAAAATATATATATACATACCATGCGGGAATCGCAGGTGGTAAAAAAAGTGAAAAGTAGGAGGAAAAGCAACTCACACAAACGAGCAACTCCTCGTAGCCTAGATCGATGAATAGCTCTCGGTAGTCCGTGCCATAAAGACGTTCCAAGATGAGACCCTCCACATACTTGGTGTGACCCTCGTTCAGCCAAAAGTGTTCCCAGCTGGCGTTGGTCACTAGATTACCCGTCCATGAATGCGCAATTTCGTGGGCGATAACCGATGTCAGAGACTTATCTCCAGCCTAGACAGTTAGAAGATGCACTAGTTTTGGTCTGACTCCGTGGACAAGATAGAGATAAGCTAAAAATGCCTGTCTGTTTTTTGTAGCGTGCAAATCAAAGCGACCACTAATCGCCTTATTTATTCTTTAGAATACCTAGACTTGTCCATTAGTTAAATTCAAAGGACCACCCCGAAAGTTTTATCTCTGATAAGCTTCACGTTATGTTCGTCATTCGACTTTCAAAACAGGCGATACGCCAGAACGAGTAGTTCTTTACATCTCTAACTCAACATGATCCCAGCACGCGTTCATCTCCAAGCTTGATAGGACTAATACTTGTAATCTTAGTATGACACCAAATGTAAAGCCGTATTTGTAAAACTTGTAAAATTCCGGAGGATGTCGCAATAGACAAGCACCGAATTTTCAGCGATGGGCCATCGAGAGAAACACTAGTCTTCCTTGGAAGTCAGAGCGACTGTGTACACGACCAGAAACACATAAACCGGACAGTGAAAGTTATCTAATAATTATGATGAGTATTAGAAATTCGTGTTTTTTGCTGTTCATTTGCACGAATGTATTCACTGACACTTCTGCTTTCAGTACGCCATTTTCCACCCAGGTCTCAGCTCCGGTGTCCCACGTGATTCATTTTCAGGGTTTTAAAGTCATGTATCAAAGTGAAAATTTTTAAGCCATCGCATCGACAAAATCAGTGTGTTTTACCAGTAGTCACACCCTCATTAAACAGTTTTTGATGTTGCAAGCCGTGTCTACGCTAAATCACTGGTATAGCAGGAAAAATAATTCAAAAATGCCAACTTTTAACTGGCAAAATCATGAATCACACAAGAATGATCCTAAAAGACTACACATCTGCACGATAACTAAGGCCATTTAGAGTGACGGTTCAGAAGAAACATCGCCAAAAATAGTACTTGAGAATGTTGGCCATTTCATGAGTAGCCAAGAGCAGCCAAAATGTGCTCTCGGAAATCGAGACCATAACACATACCCAACCAGGGACTCGGACTCGGAGGAAAAAATTGGCGACCACAGTTGAGACGTTTTATTGCACCAATATAAAACCACTACTTCCACTACTGAACTACTGTTCGAAGTTGACTTTAAAGTTTAAATCTAAACCAAGCTGTTTGAAGTGCGATTTGGCACAACCAGTTATCATAAACTGACAATAAGTCACCTACTTACAACACTGAAATTACGTAAGAAAAAAGAAGTCACAAATATGTAACGTTGAGAACGAATGTGCTAAAAAGACCGAACATGAGCGGAAAAAAGATCAGTGACTTACAAGGAGACAGGGAGTGACGAAGGTGAGACAGGGGTTTTCCATACCCCCGTAGGGGAAGCTGGGTGGAAGAACGAGGATGTCATAGACACCCCATTCGTAGTCACCGCAGAGGCTCTCCGCTACCGCAATCATGTCGTCAACCCCTTCAAACTCGGCCTTTGCCCATGGTAGAACACTCGGCTCTGCCCATACAAACGACCGCTGTCCGATACGTCTGCGTGTAGGGAGTGAGGCATGTGGATACTCAGCCACAGGAAGCATGGCCATACAAAGAGCAAGAATACCACAAATTGGCCATGATTTCAGATGGGAATTTATTTACCTCCACAGACCCAGTTTGCCAGACCTCGGTTAACCGTGAATAGGAAACATGAGGGAAGCCAATTTGATCAGTGCGAAAAATTGAGAGTAGAAGTGTCACGTAATCGCCGTGACCTATGATCGAACACATCTGAGACTATGAGATCGCATCATAATGGTGCCATATGTTGTTGAAATACTCGAAACATCCCTATCAAACCAGGCTATAAAATCCAACGGCGACTATTTAAAATACAAGCATAATTTGCGCTAGGAAGCAACCTTTAAGTATCGTGACAAGACAATATATTACAAACACCAAATATTCCAAACTAAAAACCATGAACATACACTTAGCTGAACGAAACAACCAACTTTGACTCGTATACTTCCATTTCTACTCTCCAACAACGAAGTTGTAACTACGTTAACCAAGTTAGCAACAATGCTTCGCAGTCCTGGTGTTTCAGTAGACTCAGATACTCTGCTAAATCATTGATAGGTATGGTGATTCCAAATTCAGGTCCGACTACAAATTATAGCTTTTACATCTCGTTCAGATCTCTGTACAGAGATTTCTCAGTTCAGTTGTTGCTTAAAACGGCCATGACAGATTGATTGCCCACTTTTGCGACTGATGCAAGACCAAACTGGTTTTCAATTTGAGCACTAAACTCAAAAATATGCAACAGTCCACGTCGATATGCAAGTAAACGAACACAGAATGCTTCCTTACAGCTGGTTAACCCTCCCTCCTCCCCGAAAAAAAGCATTCTCATCGCTCATCTTCTTTTTCTTGAACTATACTCTGAAAAATTGCCCAAGTATTTGATCTTTTTCTTCCCTTATAATTTGTTTTTAAGCGAAAGCTCATACTCATCGAACTCGAACTCGAAAAAATCTACGATTTGTCCTGATTTTAAAATTAAGCGAAGCCAATGGCTTTCATATGTAGGAGTGGCGCCTTTTCAGTGAAAATAATGAAAGCGGAAAATAGTTTAAAGCATTTATTTCTAATGGAAATCGTAACCTATATTGCATCATCTAACGGCCACAAAAAGCAGTTTTACCACTTCAGACAAGGAGCTTTAGAACCACAATACAAAAGTACTTTCAAAAAGAACAACCGCGAATCAAAATTATTATCGAAATTTGTAGGACATTCCCCTTACTTCTATGGCGGCCTGGATGATAAAGTTAAAAAAAAGATCTGTCGACAGTCACTCGTTCACTCCGCTCCCAAAAAAATCTTGCTTCAAACACGATTTTTGGTGTGACATAAAACACCAAAACGGCATTAAGATTGTAAGGAGCAGTGTTGCTAATCAACACAGTACAGGAATTCCCGGGACTTACGGCAACTTTATTTCGTGCAAATCAGTGGGCGGGATCAGAGATGGTAGCGCTATTTATCACGAAGCATTTAACTCCGATCCACAAAAATCATCAACAGCGTCAACGGCAGCATCTCGTCCACACAAAACCATTTTAAGCTGGTAATTAGAAAGGTAAAGGAAATGTACAGGATGTAAGTTAAAAAGAGCGGTGACGATTCTGCGCATGTTACAATAGGACGACCGTTAAGTATCCTTTTGGAAAGGTAAGACATTCCTCAGTATAGTAATCAAGATCGGCTTAACAGAAAATCGGTTGCCCTAGATATTCGATTGCAATCCAAACCTGTTTATCTGGTTCGCCTTTTTTGAAGTTGTATAAAAAACGGGTTTCTGTTCTCATCTATTTAACTGGAAAAAGAAGTGCGAAATCGATTCTATGAATTAAAAAAATACATGTGATAGCTGAACTTAAGTGTCGCCATCCAGCACTGTGGTAAAGTTCAGTAAAAACAACATAACAGCACAATGGTATTGAGACCAGCTGGATACGGCGCTGCGAAGTAGGCAAGAGAAGTAAATTGCTGCAATCGCATCGTCAGCAGCAGTAACTACAGCGATAAGGTCACGCAACGTGTACCGAGTAAAACATGGTAGGGCTAGTAACGGAGGTCAGGGCGGTGGCTGTACGAACACACGGCTGGACAGCCCGACATTAACAATGCAGCTGCGGCACGCACACACAAATACAACCACACAGAGGAAGAAACGGGAAAAACAAATGCACTATTTTAAACTTTACAATCAGTAATCAAGTTCTCGGGACGTGCATTAAATGACTTCAAGACTGAAATTTCCTCTAACGATGTCCCACGTGCGAAAATGAATAAACGAGTTTTAGGCGAAAACTGGACAATCCACTAAAATGCGCAATCTGGAAATTTTAATAAGTTAAGGTGGATTGGCACAATAATAACGCCGATGCAAAACACAGCTGACAATGCCCCCAAGCTAGCAGGAATTCGTATTCGACGTTTGGCCTTCGAAACCCTGAGATTTGACCCCAACATCTACCTCAGCGATGACTCAGAAGGTAGAAGCAACCTTGTGAGATGCGTAAATGAGGATAAGCTTACGCGTGATCCAGCTCTCCACAGGCCAGAGCAACGAGATAGCTAGGAATAGGGATGTCCTGATGGAAGTAGTGGATAGAAGGTTTTTCCGGCTCATCGCAGTGACCTGAGGGGGTCGAACGATGCGCGCCCATCAGCACCGTCACTTCCGGTGGTGCGAGCACCTGCAAATCACGAGGCTGAACGAGTAAATTCTTTTCAAAATATAAAAAAGTAGAACACACACGTGAGCATGTGGCGATCCAAAAAGCCGATCAAGCTTTACATTCTTATAGTGCAAATGTGTTGGAATTTTGGAATCAAATAAGCGGGAATGGATGCCCAAAAGTGCATAATGCGCATGCATCACCGTTGAGTCCGAGCTGTCAAACTGGGCACTAATGCTGAAAATGGTCCACATGTCAGAAGAAAAACCGCGATGAATATTTCACATTTAGTACAGCATTTTGACGACTTAATATTGAAGAGGTGAATTGTGTGAGGTCTTAACCGAATGGGATAATATGGATGAGACATAAATCCACAAGGAATATACACATGGTCAGAAGCATAGTAAGTATGATTCGAGCAAATTCATGTAAACACGAGAAAATTGGCAACATGCACAAATCGCATGGTCAGTCAATGTCCGGAGTGCACGCGAAATAAAACGCAACCTCGATCAAATTTTTAAACAATATGAATCCGATTGACATGGCAGTTTATACCAATCATAACCACCTAGAAATCCTTAAATAAATCATTTTTTGCAGAAGTTCCTTGGCTTCTCGTCAATCATTTTTGGCATCAAAAGCACACTTTTCAAACTATTAATGACCACAGTGTCCAGAGCAAGAGTATAAGCATCAGCTGTCATGAAATACTAATTATGGCCACTTAGAGGCGAAAACAGATCACCAGCGTGTCAATATCATTGGAGTTATTAAAGTTACCCAATAAGCAGTTTAAGATCGGCTACCCGTGAGAGAATAAACAAGCTGTGCTGTGGATTAGTAATAAAATGTCCGCGGACAAAAAACCGATTTTGGAAAAGATTAAGAGGACTCCACTCACACTCGCACTGAAGGTGAATTTGACCCGAGGTGTATCTTGGCACGGGAAGAGACTACGCGCGTGGATAGCCTGGCATTGGGTAAACAAAAAGGGCTGCTTTTTATCTGCGGTCATCTGAGCATCCAGCCACTGAAGTGCAGAGGACTGCGGCATAGTGCAGTACTCTATGACCACGACAAACCTAGAAGAAAATCACGTGGAGAACCAGATGTCAGTTATGACAATGAACTTGTTTGCGCCACCCAATACCAACGTGCATCCTGCATGCTTCAAGTTGCAATGAAGAAAATAGTCAATAAGACAACTAAGCCAAATATCTCACCGGGAGGTTTGTAGACCAACTTTAATTGAGAGCACATTTCCCAAGTTAGGGTAAGATCCCGCGTCTACGGTAAATTCCACGGGTTCATTGTTAATATGTATGCGAGATACATTGATGTCCTTGATGTCCAATCTCTGCAAACACGATGAAAAGGATTAGTTTACTCTCCATGTAATACACCAAAATATGCATTAGCTGGCAGATGGATGAGGAAAATAAAACAGATGCAGATTTATATTCCGGCTGTTTTTAAGTGGAATTGACAATGAGCTGACTTAATTCATCTTGGAGGTCCGAAAGGAGGAGATGTTCAATAAAGTATGTGAAAAAGGATTAGGACGAATGTAGGAATGTAGAAAGGAGGAAAAGCGTACCAAAGTATCCCGACAACTCGCAAAAAAATCCATCGGCATCAAGTGCAGTTTAACGCAACCACTGACAACTTTAGCATCAAAATCTACTTTCCAATCAAAGTCAACATGTTGCGTTAAGAAAAGCTCCGGATTTGACTCAGAAGAAGGGTCATCTATGGGCTCCAACTTCAGGTCGGCGGCTCCCTGCATAAATAGATAAGCGCTGTTTTCAAACGAGGCACAAACTACAGGCATACGTAAATTTTAAAGCATAAGGACATTTCCTAAAACAAACGCGCCTTTGAGCACAGCTCAATCACGCAAAACTAATAATAGCAACCACGAAGAAAAGAACATGATATCTTTAGTCCTGGGCAGTGTCAACTGTCATAGTTGTCGATTCCAAGTCTGGGATCTTACGACGCGTTAAATATATCAAATTGGAACATGGAAGTGGAAAAAAGCAGTCCACAACTTCCTGTAAACGAAAAATGCATAGGTGGAAAATGGTCAAGGAGCAAAAATAAAGCGAAAGGTCCAAAGCAGCTTATCAATACACCAAACAGAACCTCCACACACTGATAATATTTCCGCATTTGGAAGAGCCAAGTTTGCAAATCCGAAACTGATGGGGACAAACTACACTTATTCATAGCAACTCAGTCAAATGTTTGGGGGAAGTTAAAATATAAATAAGAAAATGGTGAAACTAATCACAGGCTAACGACAAGCATACATTGATTTTGCTAAAATAGACTATCAACAAAAGCAAGCATGTCAGAAGGTTAACTGATTTTACTCAGAATTAAACACATTATTAACGGTCGAGAATCCCGTAATGACCTGAGAGGACTTACTAATTGGCGTGGACACGACATTTGCTTTACTAAAGTGAAACAGAGGCCAACTACTAATAATACGGGGGTGATTGGGCTACTTGAAAGTGCACTACTGTTGGGTAAACTAAGCCACATATATATAAACAATAATTATTTAATTGCATAAATACTGTCACCATATTTGAAGCCGTAAGGTGCTAAAAAATTTGTGCCAAAAACAATAAAGTTTTGTTTTATTGACATTCCTTATTTTTTCGCTGCCAATTTGTAAGCAAAACCACCTCATTATAATACTAGAGGAATGAAATAATTCTGTAATCATGTGTACCAAATCCTCACCTTGTCAGCAATCCATGCTGTTGCAAAGTTTTTCAAGAGCTTAAACTCCTGCTCCACCATGTACAAAGATTATTTTCAATCATTGATAATTAGTTTTAAATTTTGTGTTTTAATTAATTATAAGGTGGTGCCCTGTGCCTCCTCTAAAGTCGCGGTATCCTATGTCAATACAGGAAATTTTGTTCTCGTCAAAAAAGTTTAGGAAGAAAAGTTGGGCGGCGACTCATGCCTCTGAGCAGAAGCACAACCTGTAGACTCTGGGAGCCCATCATAGTCAGCAAACATTTCTTATCATTTCACAACTCTCTTCTAACTCCGAGCGTTGCCTCTGTAGGTGTCTTCAGTCAATTTTCTGAATCGACCATTGCAACGTAATCAACGCTTATAAGACTACCTTCCGAGCCTAAAACGGTAGTTGTTGCATTTCTTTGTGGATGAAAGGATATCATATCTAACTCTAATTATTCATTCCGGTAACTCAATTCTTTCCTAAGTTTTTCTTGCTTGCAAAGTGTATGAGACACAGGGGAAATCAATAGATTCATTCTGCTCAAAGCTAAATAATGTGCCTGAAATTATGCGTTTCGCATGCCAATAAATGTGTGTAGGAAAATTCACATGATAGTAAAGCTGTTTAGCAAAACCAAACCCCAAATTAACCTTAACACAATTCAATTTATGCATTGACTTGTTTCCACTTTGTTTTTATTTCACTCGTGTCCAGCCGTTCATGTGCGCTATTCACAGCTTTTAGAGAAGTAAAGGAGGTACGGCTTGACTACGCACTTGAGACCTTAGGCAGTGTAATGGGCCTCATGTTCACCCATCTATAGTAGATCCTTGCAGTCTGCTACGTTAGGATTTGGTAATCAGCCTTATAAATCATTTGGTTTTTTTCAATTAACATTACCTATCTATGCCACCATTGTAGCGCAATATGTCCTTTCTGAAGTCGCACAAAAGAGATGAGAGGTCATTAGCATGTACGGAAGGCCAGGCCCAAGAAAATTAAAGTAGGCAAAAACCATAGTCTACTATGTTTGGAGAAGTGATGATGTTTTAAACCACAAAACAAGCTTTACCATAACTTTACAGATACGCAAGAGGAACCAAATTTACGCTGTGGTAAGGGTATTAACTTAAGTTCAGGGAGAACAGAGACGGTCAATTAATTGTCAGAAAGGCTTGCAATGTAGAAGGCGACTTGCTACTGCAGAACCCATTGCTTGAACTTCATTAGTTAACACAAAGAATTACGTTGGCATTATCTACATTAAACTTGTAAGGTAGCTATAAGTGCGGCCGAGACTTCAAACTGCCGGATGATTGTAAAATCCCTGGAGCAATTACGACCCCTAGTAAACAAGCACAATGCAAATACTTGATGTTGTGATAAATGTTAAGCTACACTTTCGCCCTGCAGCACGATACTGCAACCACTAAACAAATTCCAGGTCTCCTGCAGTTCTGTATCGTCAGTTCTTTGACACTACTTAAATTATTAAAATTTCAGAAAAGACGGGAGACCCTACAGCAGATCAATCACTTATCAAGATGATATAATAAAGTTCGGGAATTGAAGTAATGCATGTCTGCCAACCGTCTAAATCTACGGGTCCAAATCTTCTCAAAATGCTTGGCAAACACCATTGCCGGGAGTAACATATATTGTAGGGTGAGGCTCATCGGTCTCAACATCCCTGTTCCTATTGCTCTTAGAAGAACCCGGTTGGTTCAATTTAGACATATTTATTAAAGAGGAAAAGATCGAGAAGGAAAGTACAGCGTTTAAGAAGGAGGGGGGGAACAGCAATCACTAGGCACGGGAGAGGACGATCCTGTCACTAGATTCGTATTTCCAGCTTGCCTCCTCCCTAAAAGATACATTAAAGCAACATAGGTGTTACAATATTGCTAACGCACATAAGATAGGTCAGTTCACCAACACGGACCAAAGGCCACTTCACAGAGCGAGCTTACTGTAATTCGGTGGTGGCTTATCCCTCAGTATTGGCGAGGCGCCACTTTTGAACTTCTGTTTTTGCCTTCTTGTACCTAGTTGGGTGCGCTGGCCTTCGGGCCATGCCAGTAACCCAAACACCTTCTCTGTGCTGAATATATATTCTGCCCAAGTATTATGTCTTCTTTCGTCTTCAGGGTAATCTCGGGACGCTAAACCATAATCGACCGAGACTTAAATTTCTGCAAAGCATGTAGCAAATTGCTGCGGTAAATACGCGGGTGTTCCTCCTTGATACTACAAGGCAGAATATTCTGTAACAGATGTTTGGAGAGATGGCAATTTAACAGCTTTTTATTTTGCAAATAGTGTTTTTCTGTAGAACCTAATATCGTAAAATTGTTTGATTAGTTTTTAATTTCAGGCACATTACTTTTTCGATATCTAAAAGCCAGAGCCTTCAAAATCTTTCATTCTTAACTCTTGTCACTACATTGATCTGGCAAAAAATTAAAGAATAATAATGTATTTTGGTTAGCGTTTTAACTTTCGTTCATTTTAAATTTTGCGAATTTTGTTTAAGTGTTCTCGTCTTGATTGGCTGGAATGTCCAGTATTTATAATAAGCTTTTAGCATGAAGTAAGTTGCCTCTGTTCCCTCCAGATCGGGGTGCTCGTGATATGTTTCCTCAATGATATTTGGGCAATTTACTTGTGCGTTGTAATTCTAAAGACGATGTTCTGTCATTTGTAAATCTGCACCTTTATCCCATTCCGAAGGGCTAGTTTTTCCTTTAGGGTTATAAACTTTCAAGCTACATGACCTCTTTCCTTTAATATGGAGTTTGTGACAGAACGCATTTATGTCTAACGTCAGGTTCCCCAACAACACTAGCTTATTTTACCTGTCTTTACCGGTGACGCAAAGTATTCAAATGCCAGACGTTTCTACTTGATTTCTGCGCTTCGTATTTGAGATATTTCAGGTATTAGAGTTTGGTTCTATGCAAGTGTAATATTAGAAGGCCCATTTTTTGTGAATTACCTTACTAAAAGCCCATTTGATTCCAACAGTCCCTCGTGGACCCCTCAGCCAAGCAATGTGAGCATCGGCAGCGTCCTCACCAGCAACCCTCCGGGTTCCGTCGAGCAGATGCAGCCAACTCCCGTCAACCAGCTTGTCAGTGTTGTTGGAAGCTACGCTGCTCCTTCCAGCGCTCAGGCACACAGTAGGCCGCCGTGTACTCCAAACACTCCTGGTACACCATTCCACGAACGCGATGGCGTAATACCTCAGCCACAGCTACAGTAAGTATCATTCCCGTCGATCACCACCTTTTGTTGGGGATCTGCCGTGGTTTTACTAGTCGCTTAATTATTAGAAATGGGCTTGAACAGCTTTTCTCTGCATAAATGTATTCCGAGGAATTCATTGCTTTCAGAAATATCGTGTGTACAGTGAATCTCGAGATAAGGTTGGACTTAAGACGGATAGCTCAAAGCGCACGTAACGCTGAGTACAACCCGAAACGATTTGCTGCCGTGATCATGCGTATCCGGGAGCCACGAACTACTGCACTCATCTTCTCCTCCGGCAAAATGGTCTGCACTGGTGCCAAAAGTGAGAATGAGGCGCGTCTTGCTGCGCGCAAGTACGCCCGAATTATTCAAAAGTTGGGTTTTGATGTAAGATTCACTTTTCTTGGTTTTTGATGTCCTGCTATTTTCAATTACTTCACGTGTTTAGGCTCATATCTGATGGTCTGTTATTTTTGAATCGGCTGACCTGGAACACAATCGTCGACATGTCGTATAGCGTCGTGCCATAGTGTATTCCCCAAGGTTTGAGACAAACTTTTTCATGGATTATTTTACTTCTTTTAGGCTCGATTCAAAGGTTTCACAATTCAGAACATGGTGGGGTCCTGTGACGTGCGGTTCCATATTCGTCTGGAGGGTCTAAACGCTGCACAAAAGAAATTTACCACGTAAGTTCCAGCTCAGACGAAAGAGAGGCATTCTAAAACAAGACTAAGTAATATCAAGGGAATTTTCTTTAGGTACGAACCCGAGTTGTTTCCCGGGCTTGTTTATCGGATGCAAAAGCCCAAGATTGTCCTTCTGATTTTCGTGTCAGGGAAAATCGTCTTAACCGGTAAATATTTTCATGCTTAACTACACTTTTGTTAAAAACACTGACATAGAACGAGTGTAAATCACGTCAAGCGAAATGTCAGCAACTATATCGTGTCTCATAGTCTACTTTTCATCTCTTACAGGTGCCAAAGTGCGAGATGAGATCTATCAAGCCTTCAGTAATATCTATCCAATACTAAAGAACTTTATGAAATTGGATTCAGACAAATCGGGACTGCATCAACAAGCAATCAGTGGATAATTGCTATGCTTATCCGTATGTGCATAAAGAACTAGCCTTTCAGTCTCCTGTATACACGACCAGATGATCCCACTCCGATGCTGTTTTTCTATCATGTCAAATGCTTACGTCTTCAATCTCTCTGGCAATAGAGTTTTTACTGATATTGACTATACATTTTCTTGTCTTTGGATGGCAGAAATGCATGGGCCAAGTTTTGCCAACTCCTCTTCCGGTGATTGTGTCCGTAATATAATTCGGTTGCCTAGTTATGATTTAAGGGAATCGTGGTTACTGAGTAGCTGTTTACGAGTGTCAAGAGTTGGGGAATTGGGTGGTTCACGCGTCACGGATTGATTTGTCCCATTGGGCACGTGAATTTGCGTATGGCAGCATGTCCGGGGTGTGAATAGCGATCAGCCTCCTGATTATCTGAGTTTACTTTTCGGTTTTCAGCTCAAGAAGAGTATATTCTCGTCCTGTTTTGTATAATTTCTCGAATCAGTTCTAGACTATGTTTTCAAGTTATGATCGAAGGAGTGGTCGCCATCATCAAGTGGTTTTAGTTGAGTGCAACGTTGATGAGGAAGATGGATGGATGCGGAGCCCAAGGGATTGTCCGCATTTCCCCAACAGTTGGGAGCGACGCACTAACCCCGAAAATAATAGTCCTAGAAGTTTCATGAATCGACACGCGCTGGAAATGATACGGATTCTTAATTGTGTACCCCCAGGGTACTCTTTCTGTCGCGATCAACACATGGGATTTTTCGAGGTGCCTTCACGACCCTCCATGCCTCTAACGAAAGCCACACAAACAACAGATTTAAATAGGAAAGAATCATCTGAGAATGTGCGCACACAACGCAAACTAGATGTACGGAGAAATCACACTACCACCAACGTATCATATGGGGTGAAGCCGAAACAGTCAGCACCAACAAAACAGCGCTCTCAAGGCAGCTCGACTTGCAAGACCTCTAAGATGATACCCTCTACGTGTCCAAGTTTTATCGCTGTCGTTACACAATCCACAATCAATACCACAAGAAAATCCTCATGGAATAGAAGCACAAAAATCAACATCTCCACTATGACACATACATTACCCATGCAGTCCATTATGAAAGGGGAACCAAAAATTGAAGTATCACTTCCAACTCGACAGAAAAAAGTGAGAATTACGTATGCCATAAATTACACATATTACTTAAACAGGCACTATTCCGAGGTTACTAGAGTCTATAGAAATTACTACAGCAAGATCGAAGCTTGTATTCCCATTGTTCAGTCGAACTGCTGTTCCTTTAACCGTGTAACATTCATTGTGAACTACTTGGAGGGCGAAATTTCCCTTCCGATGTATCAAATTACCACGGTGCCTGTAAGGGTCGTACCCACACAGTTCAGACCAGTATTGAGTGATGTACAAACCTCGAAATTGTGCAGAGCAGTAAAATATGCTTCTCCTGTCACCAAAACGACTCCGGCCCCATCCATTGTACACAAAACTCCGAGTGTACCTCATTTCTCCCTCATGTACATTGAAAATGTGGGCGGCTATTTTGTCAAAAAAGAACGACCCTCCTTTAAGGGTGATAACGACGAGTCGGCTTCACTGAGACAGACACCGATTACTCCCCATATCTCACGCCGCTATGCGGAGTACTATGTGTCACCGACCCCGGCCGGGGAGTCAGTACTTCGGAGGCAACAAGTTTGGGCTAGCGTGACCAAAAACCGGGCCTCTTTAGTCTCACGAAAACTCAGAATGACCTCGTCTGAAGTTCAGACGACCCCAGATTTGCTTGATACCCTAACCGCTGAGTCGAGGACTCGAGAGGACAGATCCAAGCGCCACACTGGCAGCATATTCAACCGAATTCAGTGGCATTTGCATAAGCTTGGACCGAAAAGTGGTCACTACAAGTAGCTCCGCACATCTCACTAGTATCTCATCATTTCTTTTATACACATTCAGATCACATCTGGTTTCGTGTAATTCCGTTTACCAGAATAGGGTTATTTTAAAGATGCACCGTTAATAACACTTTGATGTGTGAAAGCATTTCACCATATTTGGATTGGGTAAGGCTATCCACTCATTATTAGACAAATTCAACTAACAAACACAACCACTAACAACTACGCCTTTATTAACATTTGGAGGATATTCAGTGAGAAAGGCCATAACAACTTCCTAGTCTATCAAACAACAAACGGATACCTCCCTCCATCCGTTGCACTGTGTTTGTAGAGCTCACGCTCCGTCTCGTAGTGACGGGGACGAAAAAACTCCACTACGTTGCTCCAATAACCCTGATTAAAGGGATTTCTAAATCCCGTTTTTGCGGTCCCAAAGTGCTCATATCTTCGCCAGTTTGTCAGCTCATTTGTCGTCATGTTGAAAATAGCACTGCTTATCTTTAGAACAAAAGAAAAATAAGCCTTATTTGGACTTATCTTTCCATTTCGAACACTTCTATCTGTCATCCAATTGGATTCTCGGCCTCTGATGTAGATGTAATCATGTTCAAATTACGACTAAATTACTAGCATCTAAATCCACGATAATAAGCATAACAATTGTTAAAGTCCTTACATAGTGAGACCGACCTACCGTCATGAAGCACGCATTAAGACCGAACATCCAGCCAATGGAGAGGAGCACCAGCGTCATTATCTCATAAAGACTAGTTGAATCAGCCTTTTGCCAGTACCTTACTGCCAGCCATCCAATCCAGCTACTCACGATCGTGACCATAATACTAGTCAGAAGGAACCATACTCTGAAACAGGATGGTCAATGAAAACAGTTTCTAGTTGCAGATTTCCCTCGACATCTAATTTTAGGGCTTACCGATTGTCCTGTCCCACACAGTTGTCAGTCACAGGACAGTGGTGATCCATCACTTTCACACAACGGTTGCAGAGGCTGCAGTGTTTTGTCCTAATCGGCTTAATGCAGCCACAAGTGTGGCAGAGACTACTCAAACGGCGCTTGAGGATCCCAATTGAGCGTCGCAGAGCCTGTACCTGCAGCGGTAGCAACTCGGTTTGAGGTGTTTCCACCTCAGCCAGCAGATTGGTGCGCTTTTGAAGCCTCCTGCATTCGACGAAGAGCTAGAATGATTGGCCATTTTAAGTTAAGACGAAATACACTGCTAAGGCGGATAGAATTAGAAACAGTCTCTACCGATGAAATTAGCAAAGGCAATAAAGAGTCTCGCTTAAAAGCATCCTGATCTCCAATTAGAAAGTAATCCAAGTAAGCGAAATAACAAGTGGTTAAATCCCAACCATTTTCTAGTCCTTCCGCAGAAGTAGCATTAAATTGGAAAATGACGACTGAATCGGTACAATTCCCTAGGTGATTTAGCTGCGTCCTTGACCATCGCTTTACAGATAAGCAGGCAAATAACGGTATATTTGCTTGCCTCTCGCATTTCTTTCTCGTATTCCAATGTGTTAGTGGGGAGAAAGCCGGGATTTTTGTATACTTCCATGAAATAACAGACCCATAGAAATACATTCATGCAAATAAAGACGGTTGATTCTGTCGCTGATAGGGCAACTGCACTCCGATAAATCTAAAACGTAGATTAAGAAAGTTGTCCGCTATAGCAGAGGGTAGACTTCATGAATAAGCACTGTAGAAGAATATGCGCCTAAATGTATGGCAGTGACCATTTTGAGAGCTTATATAACAAAATGTATTTGCCTATTTAAGCAGACACCGACTTCAAATTGGAATTACACAGTATTAAAAATAGGTAATCCGCTCTTCCCTCAGCCCAAATCCTTTTCACTTCAAACCTACTTTCTATGTAAGATAAAGAATAAAATCAAGATGGCTTACTCGCAAATGCAGATAGGGGTAAAGCCACCCCAAAGAAATAGCCAACATCCAGAAGTTCATAGCTCTTCGTCGACCAGGGGGACCGCAAAGGGAGTACCTTGGGTCCAAATAATGAGTTTTAGACGTATATTATTGTTTGTATGGATTATAATGGTAAACGATTAGTTTAATTTCCGTGACAAATCTTTCTACTGCTCCAGACTACCCTCTTCGTTAAGGTATCCGAATGACAGCAGGAATGTTAATTCAGTACTTGCAATGCGTATTTTTATACTAATTGCCCATTTGGCATATAGCATACTATGAAAAAGAGAAATTGAGTTGTTCTATTGGAACAGTAAGATTTAGTCACCTAGAAATGCCTACTTACGCCTCGGAGTTTAAAACATAATCTGGTATGAATCAATCTAGGTATTTACGGGGTCATTAATTAATATCATGGTTGAAAAAGTAAGTGAAATGTTTTAAACGATCTTTCTCACATAATTAGGGAAATTTGGCTCGGTGAAGTTGAGATATGTCGAGCATTTCCAGATTTATACAATTCATTTTGAATCAGGGCAGCCAACTCATAATAACCACGTCTACCCGCCACATGTTCGGGAGTTTGTCCCTCCTCATTTCTTAAAGTCACATCATAATCTCTCTTTACCGACACTGTGCACAATGTCCCCGCATTCGTTATTTTTAAGAGTATGGAAGGTGGATAAAGTGTGGCTCTTAGAATGCCAGATGCAGTTGCCATGTTGCCACCTCCACAAGCGACATGCAAGGGGGTGTTCTTCCTCGTGTCTTGATATTCAACAGCCTCAGGAAAAAAACGCAATAAAAGACTGCATATATTTGGACCACCTATTTGGAGAAGTAGTTCCACAAAATCAATGGGGGGACTCAGTGACCAAATATAATTACGCATCACACTTACCGGATTGTGCCGCAAAATGAAGAGGGAGAGAATTATCAGAGTCTAATGCCTCCAAAGTTGCACCACAAAATATCAGCATTAATACAAGCGCCGTGTTACCAGACCTGCAAGCTTTTAAGAGACATCAATGCATCAATGGCGTAGTCGACAATAATAGGACATCATATGCAGTAAGCAAGGATCACTTTTAAATAGTTATTTTGAACACTAACAATACTGTCAACGAATAAGGAGGAAAAACGTTAACTTTGATCTCATACCAACCGGAAACATCGCAGACATTTATGCCTATTGTTCCTCGTAAAAAGTCTTAATTTTGCCTGCTGTGTGAGAGGCAATTAAGTAGTTATAAGGAATGACCATTTGTACATGCGGGTACATTTCAGAAAGTCCTTTGGTTAAACCATTACTTTGTCGCCAAAAACAAGGGAATACTACAGCCACTAAATGCATCACCATTACAATTCCACAAAGCTGCGTAATCAAATGCAATATTATTGGAAAGATATTAGTTTCCGTACAGAGACCTTAACACACTATTATAAAACACATTTACTGTAGGTCACTCGCATAAACACGGTCGATAAGCACACACCGAGATGAATTGCTGATAGCTTTGTTTTGTCACTTTGATTTACATCCTTGCATCGGCACAGCAGTAGAGCCGCAGTCTCAAAACTACCCGATAGACATGAAGTCATAAACGGACATTGACCGATGGCATTTGGTGAGTTAAGACTACTATTAGAGCTGTCAAGATAAGCAGCTGTTTTGAAAGCACCACCAAAAGCTGCATGATGAAGCAGCGTGTCCTTAAATGCATCAGTAATTGTCAGTAATTCCGGACAGCCTTCTAAGTACTTCTTGAGTTTTTTCAACTTTCTGGCGTTAAAACAATAAAATTACAAACCCGAATCTCGCCTCTTTAAAAATAGGATTAACTAATATGTCATCACATAAGTGCAGAGCCTTAGCGGTCTTATATCTGTCAACGGATAGATACATAATCCGTTTCCGTGTTAAGCGCCACTAAACATAGTCCTTTCACGATGGACAAGGTGCTTAAAGCGCCGCTTAATTAAACATCGCTGTATCACCTTTAAATCCCACAAAGCTAGCAAAATAGATTTTTGAGTGCGAATGGTTAAAAATGCATTTTAAATTAGGTTACGCGCTGCATCACAAACTACAGGTCCATCCGAACCTCAACGCAAAATCCCTACCTTACGCAAGTCCTCACTAGATTGATCGGTGCGCCTTAGTGCAATCCTGCCGTACTTTCGTATGGTTTCGGAAGAATTGGTTACTTCTAGTCAATAGCACCCAGACTGAAATAGGGACTGGCTTACCCCTGCGCCAACACACGCACTGCACCCGCACCCAGAAGTACCACAAGCCCCACGCCGCCCCAACACCAGAAACCTACTCTTGAGCAAGTACGTCACCAATGCCGTCGAGGGAACAAATAACAACCCCAACCCAGCGCGGCCCAACTATGTGTGCTCCGATATAGACTATCTTTCGCTATCCGATCCACAATATCTGTGCCAAATTGCCAAAAATTAAAGCCAAAACACGAGAGCACCAAATGCAGGACCTTTGCGCAGTATTACGGCATTGATGATATGAGGATCTGTTAAGATGTCGGATAGTACAACTTTTTCAGCCGCTGGACGTCGTGGGCCTCAATTTTCTTGAACAAAGGCTTCGGCTGAAATAAAAGGGTAATTTTATGATACCACTGACAAAAATCACAGATCCTATGCATCACTGGATTCCAATACCTAAATAGCTCAGGTAGCTGTGATAGTGTGAGGTGAAAATAAGTGCTCCATTTTGCTAGCATATTCTTCTAGTAGCAAATTATCCATAAATCGCTCAAAAATCAAACGACTAAACCTCATAGTAGATCAGATGCCATAGAATTGTTAGTCTCACTGTGATGTGTCAACGCAAATGCAGTGACTTAGACGACATAACTTCTACGTCGAAAAAGCGTTGCGGATGCCTACAACCCCGGAAGTACGTTCCATGTTCGATATTCTGGAAGTACCAAGTAATTGCTGATCTTCGAACATCCCATAAAACCATATTCTTGCTTAGTCCTGCCTGAACGCTTTATATCCAGTAGTGCCCTCTACTGTTAACTACTTGAGGGATGGTTACTATGATATATGGGTAATTGAAATCACCGAGACATAACTCAGAGACAGACTCACTCCCCAGCAGCCTCTACGCTATAGTCACCGACCATGCATGCACCAACCTTGCGTACTCATTACGTCGGTGAATAAAGACATCCGTCCCGAAGTCATTACGCCTCACTTATCTGGTTAGAGGCCTCAATAGGATCCAGGCGACCCAGGTTAAAGCAAAAAGATTCATCTGGATTTCAAACGTACTAAAGAATGGTATTACAGACCTCTTTGACAGACCAATAAACAAGTAAAGAATCCAAACCTCAGAGGATGAGAGCTAAGCTATACTATGCATTAACCTATATAATAAATCAAAAACCTCTTTTGGTATGAGCTCTAGAAAAAAAAAACAATTTCAATGGAGTTCTGAAAGTTTCAAAATACTTTTGTCGACCTCTCCGATAAACTCTAAACAGATGAGAATAAGCATAACCGGAGAAACATGAAAGCATAGTTTTACAAACATCATCAATTACAGAGTGAAACCTGGGTACCAAGCGCGCTTTCGGTGGCGGTCGTGTCAATTGTAGCCCTACTTTTCCAGCCCTTCTATACGTGCATAATAAAACTGCCTCTAGGCTGATGCACCTTAAAATGCCTTCAGAAGAAGTATGAGTGGTACGACATATATTGCGCAACAGGAACCAACCTCGCCAATTACATGTCCCTCAGGCAGAAGGCAGATGATGTGACCACCGTTGGTGACCATGGGTGCGAGACTGCGGCGCTCGGAGGGTAGTTTGCACTGTGCGAAAATCTCTTCTCCAATGGTGGGCATGAAAGGACGTAGGAGGATGCCTAATAGCGCGGCGATGTTACTGCTTATTCCAGTCACCACGCCGGCTCGCTGGCTGTAAGACGAACGTAGACACACCCAAGCCTGACAAAACCATCTCAACCACAATCTCAGTCAATATAGCTTAGGAAGAAGGGTTCTAACATGGTGTCGGAGGACTTATAGAGGACCCAGGGCCTCTGAACCTGTAGGTAGCCGTTGCCGAGCCGAGAGATACCGAGGACCGAGCGAATGCCCTCACGCAAACGACAATTTTCCATGTGGCTGATATACTCGTGCAGAATACTGTTCACCCGAGCCAGGAAGGTCACGTCGTCCGGTTGAAGGCTCTTCATGCTCGGTACGGTAGAGTTAAAGAACTTCATCACGAACATCAGAGGTCTAGACAAAAGAGAAGTCAGAAGTTGAAGGCAAAGCCTGCTTACCTATTGATAAAGTTGCCGAGGTTGTTTAGCAATTCGCTGTTGTTTTTGAGAGCAAAGTCCTCCCAAGAAAAGGTGCTGTCCTACAGACGAAAAACCTCGGATTAATTACAACCAAGGCGGTGACCAATCGTGGCAAAAAAGTCGTTAACCTGGGTTTCGGGACGAATGTAGGCTAAGTAGAAACGCCAAATGTTGGACTCAATACCGCTGTCTTCTGCGTTATTTCCGAACACACCGACTCCTCGACTCTTAGAAAACTTCTTTCCTTCATAGTTAAGGTATTCTGGGACAAAAAACGTACTCCTGCATAATACAGTTGAAAAAAAACTATCGGAATTTGACTAATAAAACGGACATTGTCAGTAATGCACGCTACGCACACAGAACTAGAGGTACGCTTTTAAAGAAGTCGTCTAACTCAACGTAAATTCTTAATAAGGGAGTAGCCGACCTGTGGCAATGATGTGTTTCACTAAAGTGAACTTCTTGCCACTACCCAGAAGGCAGGCAGGAAAGATGGCGGAGTGGAAAAGAACGTTGTCCTTTGCCATGAATTGGAAATACTCCACCGGCGCCACATCCTCCGACGGCAGCCACCACTGACGCCAGTCCCTCGTGTAGTTTGCCGTGATCGAGATGTACCCGATGGGGGCGTCAAACCACACGTAGAAAACCTGTCAAGGTAAAAAAATTGCATTGTTCAATAGGTATTGTATTCAAACTCTAACCTTGGTTATCAATGAAATTCGTCGGCTTGTACAGTCTGAGCTGGATTATGACGACCATGTAAATGATCAATCTGAAACCATGGAAGTGTCCATAAACGAAACCTTGAAGGAAGAAGATCCCATAACTCAAGGAGAGGAGTAGTGAGAAGAAACAAAACTCAAAAAAAAATTAATTTAATAGGCACTGGATATAGACAAAGATTTGTTAATAAGAATGCCATCTGCACGACAAAACCGGATGCGGAAGGCCACATTATTAACACAAGTTGGAATGGTTCCGAGATTATCAGGATGATCTGAAAATGCGGGTTTATTAAACATATTCAAGAGACGAGGAGAAGTCACAAGCTTGATGTCTAGAAGCAGAACTAAGTTATATCTCAAAAGGAGACAGACTTTGTTTTTGAAATTGAGCAGAGGCACTGGTACGCCCCACTTGAGATCACGGGTGATGCAGCGCTTCTTGAAGCCATCGCGAAGCCAGGTGCGAGCGATAGACTGCGCTACTTGGGTCCATTTGCAGTTAGGATCCTCCACGCTCTCAGTGAAGAAGACATCAACTTTCTCCTCCAGCTAAAAGAAGGTAACAACACCATTTTTGATTGTATAGTTCACCATATAGCACTTTTACAGTCCTCCATAATTTGGTCTCCAAAATGGTGGCAAAAGTCCAAGTGCTGTATTGGTAGCAGTTTTACCGAATGCTCCAGCGAGATTCCAAAATTCAACGGCTGAGCATTACACCATAACGTCGTAGGAGGCATCTGGTGTGATGACCATATCAATCTCAACTCTCAAATATTGATCGGTAAAATAGTGATAATAACTGAGGGCAAAAAATATATTTGATAGAATCGCTTGCGAAACCAGTAAAATACGAAGTATGTTGATACCTTTTCAAGTTGCGGGAAGCTAATGGTAACCCTGTTAGGTCACCAGACGGTACTAGAAAGACAGTGCTCTGGAAAAGCGAAACACATGCAGAGTTTAGCTCCACAACTTGCATTCTATTGAGGTTATAATTAGATTCCTTTGGCCGACCACTCTACTTACGTGATGTCGGCAAATTCAGGCTACAATTGGCACGTGAATCCGTCCAATTTTCTTGTCTTCTAGGCATCAAAATGCTTGCCATATACAGATGAGGGTTGAAGGAAAGCACACTGCTAATTCGGTAAAAAAAAAAGAATAGTGTCTTGAGGCCACCTCTTGGAGGGCAGATACTTGGCCATACCGAAAGGCGTGAAAGTGAGGTCATGACTTAAATCTCAGAGCAGTGGTAGCACTCACCCGCATTCAATGCCATTGTTATTCAGGTAATATATAACAGCAAAAATCATCGACGAATCGCTTTTTCCTTTCCAACGAATACACTTAATAAAAGCATATGAACAATAAACAGTGGATGTGATAAGTAAATGCTTTGTGAGCACTCTAGGGAACGGAGTAATTAATGGATTAGCCAAAGCAAGTTTCCGTAGGAAGACTTCATGGCGGCTAATGAATGGTTAGTGGGATAGTTATACTAAAGAGGATTAATGTTTATAAATGGGCTAATAATTTCAAATGCGCCAGATGAAATTAGCTGTTCGACGCTAAGACGAAGAATAGGTTATATCAATCAACACCGTACCTGAATGAGGGGGAAAGAACTGGGTCGCAAGTAGGAGAAAGCCAAAACATTTCTAAACCAAATCTCGTAAAATTACCGTCAAGATATTACTTCTTCAAACTACCAACTTCAATCTTCATAACAAATCTAACCAAGATTACCGAATGGATTACATTAAGCTCAATACAAGGTCGAAATATATAAGACAACATAGAGTTTACAAGTAGAACTAGACTAATGAACCCCAATCGTGTAAAAAGAACCAAGGGCATAAATAACGGCTACTGGGATTAGGTATGCCATTATAAATCAGAAAAACACCTTAGGAAGATCGAGGAAGAGGTGGTTGGAGGAGCGAACCGTGGGGTAACTGCGGCAAGTAATGCATTGCGGTTTGATTAACTCGACAGCATTTATAAGTTTGCCGCAAGTGTCGCACTGGTCACCCCTCGCATCTTCTGCCTTGCAGAAGGGACACACACCCTCCACAAATCTGTCAGCTAGAAATTTTTCACACTTCTCACAAAACAGCTGCTCCACAGAGGCTTCAGTGACGAAGCCATTATTGTAGAGGTCCCAGAATATTTCCTGTGTAATTCTACAAAGAAAGGCATACATTTGTGAATTAAAAGAACCTACGAATGCGGCAGTGGGGCTGAAAAAGTGCTTACTCAGTATGAACAGGTGTCGAAGTCCTTCCAAAGTAGTCAAAATGGATGTCAAACCAGTCGTAAACTTGGCAATGTAACTTGTGGTACTTATCGGTTATTTGCTGAGGAGTCAGACCCTCAGCCTGGGCTCTCGCTTCAGTGGCGGTTCCATACTCGTCTGTACCGCAAATGGAGAGTACATTGTAGCCTGCAGTCTGACAGTATAGTGCAAAAATGTTTGCGCTCAGTAAGGAACCAATTAGATTTCCCAAATGCGGAACATTGTTAACATAAGGCAAGGCGGAGGAAATCAGGATATTTCGAACGCCCTCGGTCTTTTTTAGCGGCAAACTAAAGAAAAATCGATGGGTTACTCAAGCAACTAAAGCAACAAAAAAAGCTGATAAACACAATAACATGCATTGTTCTTTTCTCAGAATGAATTGACGTAGCGGGTAGGACAGTTGAAGAGAATGTCCACTGAGCTTTGAGCATCTGATCAGTTGAAACCTCAACATGCAGACGTCGCAGTTCGTCTTCATCATTTTGTACCGACTTTTCATTTGCTTTCGCAAACTTGTTTTGACCTTGTTTTCGTTGGGGCATTTTTGGCGTGATTGTAGACGACTATAATGACAAAACTAATGTTGAATAACAGCATGAATACTTGTACCTATGAAAGCCACAAAAAAACCTGGGACATTATGCCTGCCTCTTGCGAATGGACTTTCAAAGACAAGTCCCGAAGGGCATGCGAACAGTACTCCTCAGTGTTACGGGTTCTTAACAAGTTATGTAGGTATTCCAAGTGATCCAGTGTTACTAAAAAGTGGCAGTTATTTGGCCTTTGTAATTTACCAATGCTTGGGAGTAAATGTGAAATATCTGCCCAGATTATCAAATTAGCCACCAGTCCATCCATTTCGCCCATTTCTTTCTCGAGGTTTCGAAGCTTGTTTTGAAGATCAATCAGTAAATCTGTAGCGTCTCCGGTATTGCTACCGGTGATACGATTCAAGCCAGGCTAAATGAAATAAGAAAAGTAGTGACTTGAGATACCTTCAAAACAGTCGACTCCCATAGGAGAAAGGCGTTGAGTTTTGGAGTCAATGCATCGACACCCAAAATAAAGCTTTAGGCTGCATTCAAATTAAAAAGACTTAAATGTACCTGACAATCGCATTCACCGAACTTATCAACCCTGATTCCGTTTCAAGCACAACTCCATCGGAAACTATAGAAAGAATGACCTAGAGGCAAAACCTACTCCGTTCCGCCCCGTATTTCAATATTTCAGCCTTTTTAGTCTTATATGCTGCAGCTAAAGCAGCCAAACATCCGCGATTATGCGTATCAATGAAAAGCCTCCACATGAGTCGTGAAAATAAGAGTCTAGTTTTGACAAGATGGTCCTCTGAAATAACCAATCAGGAGAGGGTGCACACAAGAAAGAATAAATTATTATTTGAATGACCTTTTTCAGCGGAATAATGTAATGTGTAAAAGGAGCTAATTGGTCAAAGAAAAATACTGTGATGATTGGCAGGTTAACCCTAATTGTTCTGCAACAGTTATTAACATTTTGCGGAGGTGATCAAAAAATCGGCATTTCGTTTCTGCCTCTCTGAATCGAATTTGCCATATTTTCTTATGATTTTGTCGAATTTATGTACTAGGGTCACTGGTGTGTTCTTTTGCTAGTTTTGGGAATTTTAGTGCACTCACGGGATCAAAATAAATTATCTGCAATTCATTAATGAAAGGGAACTATTAAGACACATTTCGCTTATTGACACGCAGCTCAAAATTTTGCTAATTTGCCTTAGGTCATTAACCTCTGGAGTTCTACCCAACGACCTTCGGCCCCTGCTCTACTGGTTATGGTCTGGTATTTCGTCGGACTGAGGCACACATGTTTGATGGTGTGTTTATTTTCCCTTTATAGTTTCATCAAATGTTCGGGTCATCTAATACTCACTTATTTTACCACCTTGTTTCTGCTCTGGTATGAGGAAGTCAAATTCTTCTTTTAACTTTAAACTAACAGTACGGTTTTGTCTTTGGTCTATCTTAGCGTGAAAGTATGCCTCTTAAAGGACCCCTAACGTAAAAAAGGCTCATTTTATCAAACCTGTAGCAAGGGTTTTTAGTTTTTGACCTGTTTGTTAAATGAGTTCTAAAATGACTGTATAAACACCCAGTGATGGATTGGGATAAGTACTTTACTATCAATGACGCTGATTGCATCGCATCGGTGCAGTTACTGGACCATTAGGGTATACTTTATCAGAGCTGTCCTACTCCAAAATTTAGTACTTAACGAACAACTATTTTTAGCTCTCGGACATGCCAAACGGGGACTGTCATTGGCGAAGCTACATGTTGCATCACCTTAACTTTCATCCTTCCTTACGTCTGGATCCTCTTAACTCAGGAATTTCGGCTGCGACATATTTTGGGCTATTGTTCTGATCAATTTCAGCAGCGCTTTTTCAAAGAAATAGTTGTATCCTCAAAATTACTCCCATTTAGCAATCGATGTTTTAAGATATATGCTTACACAAGGTGACGCTCTGGGTATCCGCGATGACATTAAAAGAAATATGTATCTGAGCTGACGGCAAAGTACTGTATCGTTAGGGATCAAAAATGACCACTAAACAGTGACATGGTAAAAGCAAATATTGGAAGATCTCATAGATACAGCGCAGCGTTTTGAATGACCGTATGTATTTAAACAGGTTACGTTGCATTGCATCCAACTCAATTTCATCTACGCCGTTCTTACGCAATCAGCCTTATATTTCGGACATATGTCCAACTAGGAAAGACGAAAACAGTAAATACGTGAAACACTTTCTTGTCTACCCACCGAAGCATCCCTCAAGGGCCATCAAATTTAACATTTTCCAAATTTGTTTCAGGTATAATTCGATTTGGACAAGTACATCTTTGTCTACTTGCTTGCTAGAGTAAGGAGTTTTTGGGATTTGAGGGTCGTTTAATCAATGAAGTTGTAATGCTTTGATTGTTTAACTCAGCTTTGACAACGGGCCACTTAGGGCTCCGCCACTGTACGACCACTGTGCGGCATGGCCCCCGAGCTACACCGGTAGCCATTCAAGCCCTTTTGTGGGCCGACAATATATGGGCTGTCCGAGTGTTCGAGTGTTTTACAAACCTGTTCGGTTAGTTTCCAAGTTCCCTAACGTCAATGTAGATTTGTACCCGCTTTACTTTAAATCATAGCACTTTCTTACACAGTGTACACTAAGGGTGAAACCAGATGTACTAAACCTCATTGAGAGATTTGTAGTTGCTATGAATTATTTGGTCTAGTTCTTAAATTACTGGTTTGTCGATAATGTATTGTCACCAAAAACCTCTTCCAACTTGCTTTAACAAAGACCTCCTAAGGTCTACCTTATTAAAAGGGTCATTAGTTTAGTTCCACTATTGCCAAGATGTCTTGAGGCAGCACACTACAAATTGTCAAGCATTAATCACAGATTAATAATTACAGCCATGATTCCGGTCACACAACGGCCCCTAAACAACCATTTC